CCACTAACAGTATAATTGAATATTCAAAGCAAGCATGTGACATTGAAATTGTGTATTGTTTATATAGATGTCTGGATTATATATCTATATTACATATATCCTAACCCACATAGTGAAACAGCATCTGGCAGCTTCCTGTAGGATGGCTCCAGTGATCCACACCTCCTGGTATTCACACTCCTGTGTAGTCGCCTCCTACATTGTACCAACGTTGGTCTTTGTGACCAATAGCATATGACAGAAGTGATGGTGGATCAGTCACTCCTGAGACTGGGCATAAAAGACACTGCAGCTCTTGTCTTTGTCTCTCTCATCCCTCGCTTTGGGGGAAGGCAGCTGCCATACCGTGAGCAGCCCCGTGTGTCTGTGACGGGGAGAGGAGCTGAAGCCTCCAGTCAATGGCCTCAGGAGTGAGCTTGGAACTAATGTTCTGGCCAGCCCACTAAGCCACTGTTCAATTCCTAGCCCTGCTAACAGCTTCACCACAGCTCCAAGAGACCCAGAATAAGTCAGTGAAGCCACGCCTGGATTCTTGACGCTCTGAAACTGAGTGAGAAAACAAATGCTGTTTTAAGCTGTAAACATTTGGAGAAACATTATGCAGAAGTAGAGAATTAATACACTATGATCATGGAACACAGTGAATGTGAATCTTTCAATAGAGAGAGAATAGAGTTCAACGAAAGCAGTTAGCAGCTACACCTAATTTATAAAATTTAAATTCAGTTTTACTAATAAACTTGATAACTCTCACAATAATTTTGTTATACTATATAACATACATACGAAGTATATGAACTTTTAAAGTGGAATCATACCAAAAGCTACTGTAAATCCGTACCGGTGTACAATTTCAAAGGCAGATAAAAATTGGGTGGAAAACTGGTCAAGTTAATCAGATAATTTCACTTACAGCATCCTCATGATATCAGACATTTTGTCATTAAATTTAAGAGTGCTCTGTAATCCTAGCACTCTGGGAGGCCGAGGCGGGCGGATTGCTCGAGGTCAGGAGTTCAAAACCAGCCTGAGCAAGAGAGAGACCTTGTCTCTACTATAAATATGAAGAAATTAATTGGCCAACTAATATATATATATATAATTAGCTGGGCATGGTGGTGCATGCCTGTAGTCCCAGCTACTTGGGAGGCTGAGGCAGTAGGATTGCTTGAGCCCAGGAGGTTGAGGTTGCTGTGAGCTAGGCTGATGCCATGGCACTCACTCTAGCTTGGGCAGAGAAGCAAGACTCTGTCTCAAAAAAAAAAAAAAAAGAGTGCTGCAGCCCTCTTTCTCAGGAAAAAATAAGAAAAAATTTCCTACAATGCACTGATATATTATACACACACACACCACACACAGCAAATGATTAAACCTGCCCACATGCATATATGAATACATACATTGATATATACACATAGGTACACATAGACATATGTTTATTAATTCTATGAAACACTGGCTGTAGCAATGCCAACACTAATTAAATTTGTTTAAGCCAGGTAAAATGCTTTCTTCTCTTGCATCAGAACTTAAGTAGATGACAAAGTATTATTAGATGTGCAATGGACATGTGGATGGATAAAAATATTCAGTGAGGAAGGACTATGTTTGGTCTCTCTAGGGACAGCACTGGCAGTTATCCCCTTGCCTGAGGCTTGGCTTCCATCAGATGTAACAATTCAATTTCTGGGAAAACAGTGACAGATGCCAATTTCAGGGAAGAGATTATATGTATACAGACTGTCACCTCCTCTGGTGTTCTGGGAAAGTGACTTCAGTCACTATTCTTTTTAAGTAGAGGTGAGAGAAACAAAGATCTGAGTTTATTACTTGTTATTTCTTGCCTTAACAATATCATCTACCTGGTAAATGAACCACTCTCACCTCAAAAGCTAACACATGCTATCCAAGCTCAAAATTTTGGTTGGGGTAAAGAGGCTAAAGATTAAAAAAATTTAGAAAACACCCATAACTACTTAATAAATAGGTCCCAAAAGACTGAAGGTGTTTGCTTATGCATACTTTACTCATCTGGCAACACTGCCTAACTGAATGCAGCTGGTAGCCATGAAGAAACTCCCACCAAAATGTGAGAGCAAGGAGGGGGAGTGAAGATGGCTATTTGTGTCTATTTTGGGCCAGATGCTATGATAGGCTCTTTACATACATGAGCTCATTCATTTTGGACAGGAACCTTATGAAGTGCTAATATACTTTCCATTTTATAAATGTAGAGATTAAAGCCCAGAGAGGTTATGTAAATGTGCCTAAGGTTGTTCAGCTACTCTGTGGAGACACCAGCATTTTGATCCAAGTTTCTCCAAGTCCAAAGCCCATGCTCTTCTTTCTTTACACCAGATGGCCTTCCTGTAATCAAATCCACCTGCACCACGACTTACGTACTTGACTCACGTAAGCACCTCTGTGGTTCCACAGTCAAGAACAATTTGTAAGCAATTCAGATTAGCCTAATTATCTGGCATCCTGTCCTCTTCCAATAAGAAACTCCTGGGGAAGAAGGTGTGCAGAGGTCCTCAAACTTTTTGAACAGGGGGCCAGTTCACTGTCCCTCAGACCGTTGGAGGCCCGTTGGAGAGTGTGGTGCACATTCCACACATGTGCACAGTGGGCCCGGGACGAGTTGGCTGCTAAGCAGGACAGGAAGCGGTGGCAAAAACACCCTGCGGGCTGCCTAAATGTCCTCGGTGGGCCGCCTGTGGCCTGTGGGCCATAGTTTGAGGACCCCTGGTAGAGAAAAAAGGAGAATGGGGACAGGAGAAGATGGACAGGCAGACTGAGAGGAGCAAGAGATGACAGCTTTGTCTCTACTCTGGTCTATACAGTTTAACATTCCCTGGAGAACTTACTGTATTATATATAACAATGGATGTTCTTGAGGATTTTGTTCAGTGGCCTCCGCATAAGAAGGCAGGGAAGTATGTAACTCATATTAAAGTAAGACTTTCATCAAGAACAGTTAAAAAAAACTAAGTCTTGATGCTTGAATGGGGTTAAGTTCTAACAGAAAACCTAACTGAGGCAAGCACCCCAGTCCTCCATGAGGCACTGCTGTATTGTTAGATTTTCTTATTTTTACTCTTTGACCTTTCTAATCGCCAGGAGATAACTACTTATTCTTAGGACTATGTTTCTATTCTGCTATTTAAAAATGGATAAAGTATAGAGTTCTACCTAAATCAAGATCTGTTCAAAATGTCTTTCTTGTCACAAGTCAGCATACTACATAAGGATGCAGAGGTGGTGCAGCATGGGCATGTGTGGGTGGTGGCTTTGGAGCCAGACAGCCCTGCATCTGTATCTTGGCTCTGCAGTTTTACTACAGTATGACACTTTCTCCAAGTGTAATGGTTAGACAAGGATACCCATCATTGCTCTATGGGGAACAAATTTATTCCATCATCTCTTTCTGTTTTCCTTATGCATCAAGATTAAGGTCAAGGAAGAGGACCGATGGGTTTCCAAACACACCCTGTGGGGTATATTTCCGAGAGGAGCAAAGGGGACAGGATAAATGTAGCATCTCTTTCTATTCCTTCCACAGGCACTGTGAGTTAGGTCTCAGGGCTGCCAAGGGGCTTGTTGACTCTCTTTAGTTTCCTCTCCTTGGATGCTATTTTCTCTTGTGGTAAGAGTCCAGCCCAAGGCTATTGTTCCACTCTGCAAGGAAGAGTGGCTAAAGCCAATGGGCACCAGGCAATGAGACAAACCAATTCTCTGGCTGGCCATCTCTTGCTCACTACTTTTTCTTTGCTATGGGCAATTGTGCCCTTAGTATCCTTTTCTCAGAAAACACTAACTAGTTCTGACATTTAGCTTATACTGACAGACTGCTAAGCTTAGGTAAAGGAGTTCTCCAAAGGGTCCAGCCTCCTTTACTAACATTTTTCAAAGGCCTTTGAATATAGAACCCCAGTTAATAATGAGTGCTAGTTTTCCTTCTTTTGATCATGCATTTCTTTTGGGGACCCTCTAGGAGATAGGCATGGCTGAGGGCCAGATGAAGCCCAATACCATCTTAATAGGAGCCCAATGAAACCTACTTTTCACACTGTTAAGAGGATTAAAAAGGACACAATGCATAGAAAAATACACCTAGCATATTCCTTACTGTTAAGTGCCAGCTAGTGCTCAATAAATGCTCATTCCTCCACTATATTTTCCTTTATTAATTAAAAGATAATGTCCAAAAGAGAGAAAGAAACCCAACCCAAATTTGAATGTGGTTTTTCATTTTTCTCCTATTCCTACAGTAGTGATTCAAACAGTAACTAAATATGACTAATCCAGTATATCAGACAGCAATTTTCCTTCCAGAAGAAAGAAGATTCTGGAAGTGAATAGTATGGTATTAAATGTAATCTGCATATGGAATTCCTGGGTCCTCTGCTCCAAAAGTTCCTTTCTCCTTCACATGTTATAAACAACACCTTTGCTTTATTAATCACTTTTTGCTAGAGACCACCAGGAGAAAATACACCACAAAAATACTTTGCCAGGTTTATCCCTAGTTTTTCTTAAACCTTTTCAAATATGAAGCTTTTGAATTCTCAATCTTTCTAATGGTCATATGATTTTTCATGTTTTTTTTTTCCCTGTAATGATGGTTTCCCCATACTGTAAATTAATGATGACTATTTATTGGGTAAAACTTTGGGTGTTCAAAGTTTTATGGTAGGTGCTTAACATTTAACAACTTTATGAAGTAGGGAATAGTCCCCTTATCTTATGATGACAAAAGTGTGGTTAAGAGAGATGTAGGAAGATGTGTAAAGTCACAGGGCTTGAGAATCAAGAATCTGGATATTGCTTTGTAAAATATCTGCACATCTGAAAAGACAGCTATGTCATGTCTCCCTTTTCCTCCCCAAATGCACACCAAGTATAATATACAAAGGAGTCAGTCTCCTAGGATCTTAGGAGTCTGTTGGGATTCCCCTTTGTGTACTTATAATGCCAGTTCTGACAGGAAAGGAGTTACCCAGAACGTAATAGAAGTATATCGGACTGCTTTGTCCAGGGTAAAACTAACCAGTCCCACAGCTAGAAAATGTATTCCTGTCCAGGCTTTCAAAGATAGGTCTCTATCAGTGACAGTCTAGCGCAGTAGAAAGGTCTTGGGGTCAGAAGACCTTGACTCTAGTTCTGGCGTGGTAATTTAGCAGCTGTGGATTTTCTGGCAACTACTCAAGGCTCTTATTTTCTTCATCTACAAAGTAGGAAAAATGATAGCTACACATACCTCCAGGGGTTGTTCTGAGAATCCACTGAGATAAGGTTTGTTTATATACTGTCTTATTTACCTATTAAGTTATTTATTGTCTGTTTTTCTTACTATTATGTAAATTCCATGATACCAGGGAACTAGTCTATATATTCACCTCTGTATCTCCAGGGCATAGAACATTGCCTGGCAACAGCAAATGCTCAAAAAATATTTGCAGAATGAATGAACTGTGTGCATTGTAAAGCATTAAAAAATGTTGATTACTATTAGTATTATTGTTAAGAATTTTTAAGACGTACAAAATGGATTTTTCATTAGAAACTAACTTTTCATAAATATTAATACTATTAGCCAGAAAGTGAATTCAGGCAGTCAGCATTTAAGTTCAAATGATGATCCTGTTTCCATTTTTTGATGTTTCCCTGGAAAATTATTACCATGTTTTCCCTCACATGATATCTGATATTAGCATTTAAATCACATGAATTGAAAATGGTGAGGCTTCATTTCTTGTTACTAATTTTTGTAACCTCCAAGAAGGTTTCTTGGTTTTGCTGATTATTCTGCAACTTCCAGGTTCTCTCCAGATGTGAAGAAAATTGCTTACTTGGTTGAGACGCTTGTACTTACTTGATGAAGTACTTGATTCCATCTGCTGTGTAAGCTTCCTCCCACCCATAAGGTAAACCTAGAGTGAAAGGAAACCAAAAATACACTTAATAAGATGATGAAGATAAATTTATTTCCTGGACACAAACCTCCCCCATCTTTATAATTATTTTAAGTACATTTCTTGTATAAAATAATTTTTGAGAAAGGGACAATTAAGACAATTCAGATAAGCTTTCATACTCAGCATCTTTCAAACACAATAAATAAGTCTTGAGCAGTTAACAATCTGCTTTAGTTGCAATAACTGGATTATGACTTGTCATTTACATGTGGTGAGCATTTTTGTCAGCAGGATTCAAGCAAAAATTTGTGTTGCAGCGGATGGTTTTTGCCTGGAGGCAGAAGGATGGACAAGATGGCCTCTGCTTGTCTATTCTGGCTCAAAGTTTCTTTAATTGGCTCCCTTTACATTCTTTCACTAAGCTCCACAGGGAATCATACATGAGTGCCAGATCAGCAGGGGTTTGAAAGTAGCTTTTGGATAAGACAAAATTCCTTATTAAGTTTGAAAGTTTAGCAAAGTGATTTACAATGGATTGTGGCATTTTACTTTGTTAATTAAGAATTTTGTGCACTAAACATAAACGGCCAAACAATTTGCTAAACTTAGCTTCCATTTCTGTAATGGGATTGAGAATAGTTAGCTATAAAGAGAAGGGGATTGACGTAAGCAAGCGATATTTGGCTATATTTCTGTAAATGAGTACATTTTGGCCCTGATCATTTCAAGAGATCAGCCCCATGTCGAGGCAGCCACATTCCCTTAATGTTCTGACTTGGGCTGGGACCCTTCTAGAACACAATGGTTTCCACCCCTCGGCTCCATCCCGGAGTACTGCTAAGGATTTTAATTTACCTTTTGGATCAGTTCTTTGACAATGGCTTATCATGGATTAGGTAGCCTACTTCTTTGGAAAGTAACTAAACTTTAACAAAAAATCACCGACTTTTATTTCCCCAAGTCTTGGCGAGGGGAAGAGCAAAAGTGCAGGAAGAGTAGTTACTCTTTCTGAATGAAATGAAACCTTTCTCTACCAACATTTGTTTATTAAAGAATATTCTTTGAGAAGCAGCTCTAAGGATGTTGATTTATTTTGTAATTAAGAAAAACAACAACAACAAAAAAACAAGCTTTGCTATATATTTATTTCCAGTCTTTTAACAAAAGTTGTATAAAATAAGACCTTGGGCAAAATTCCCCAATTATTTTCTTTGTATTCATTCTGTCTTCGTGAATGAATGTTCCTATTCTAAGTAGAAAAGAAGCACTTCTGAGAACTCAGCATAAGCAAATGGCTGGATTCTTAAGAGCCCCTGAAGTGACTCTCTACGCACATCTCTGGTGTCCGCGACGACACACGCTTAGCTAGACAGGCCATGATAAACCGCTGCTGCAGCACCAGTTCAAGTGAATTTATTTTCTGTCTTCACACTTTCTGTATCTTTTTCACACATCAATTCATTCATCACTGACAAGGTCCCTCATCTGCAGGGAAGAATCTGATGACTGCACCTAAGAACCTTGCTTTCATGACAAAAATGTTCAGAAATACCAGGATTTCGGATCAATAAGCAAAGATAGCTAAAAGTTAAGTAGAAAGTTATTCTAATATGACTTTTTGTCTGGTAACTGACTGATTTGTCTGATCAGCACAATTATATCTATCTTCTAATTTCTTAATTCATAGATATTTTTTAATAAAAAGAAAAGAAAAATGTATACTTTAAAGATAGTATCTTTTAATACACAGGATCATTGAAAATTGAGATTGACATTGAATTACCATATCCCCTGTGCCATCATAATAGAATTCCTGCCTTAATTATTTCCTTATAATAATTAAACAAGAATTATAACTTCATGAAAGACTTATATAGTGACTAATTCATAAGTATTTAAGTCAGAATGGTTATTTAATGACTATAGCCATAAAGATATCCCTGTGTATGAAATTTTTATATAAATATAGTTTATTTTAGGATACATTCAATGTTCTGAGAAAATGTTTCTTTTTAGTAGATTAAACAGTTGCTTATTTTTCATGCAGTTAATATAATCTGTAAAAGACAGACTTTGAGACTAAACTGAAAGTACTTAATCATTCAGTAATAGAAAACACAATCACTCTCCAATTATAAACTGAAAAACACAATAGCTTATTTTATACAAAAAGAACACTTGATTTCCACAGGTTATGTGATTATGATAGACTCAGTTTTCCATTAGTAAAGGCTTTCATTTCTTTATAATAAGTCATTTGGATGTAATTATAACTTTATCTAAATACATTGTAATAATTATTGTTCCAAATATTAAAATATTTCTACATTTCTTATATCTTCATAGTTGTAAATATATAATGCTTCTATTTTTCCTTTTCTTTTCATATATTTTCTAAAACTGTTATGACAACTATAACCACCTATAATTTGTTTCTGATTGGAAGTGTTTGCTTATGAACCCTCATATAACATTCTTTCCATCAGAGATCATCTGTTTCCAGTCAACAACTTTATGGTGGTGACTCCAAAATCTGCATGAATATCTTGCCAAAGTAACAGTCTTAAACATATTCAGCTTAGAATACTGGCTGTCACCTAAAACTCAACATATCCAAAACCAAACTCATCACGTTTCCATACAAATAGTTTCCTTTCCAATTTTTTGGTCTATTTATGTACCAAAGATTCTCTTTGTCATATTTAGCCCACGTATTCATTCATTAACATTTATTGATTATTTATTATCTGGTCAGCATTTTACTAGATGCCCAATATACAGTGATAAACAAAAACACATGAACCTTGATCTTGTAGAGCTTTAAAATATATCATAAATAAAGACATCATTAACATTAGGAATAAATACTATGAAGGAAAAGTATGGAATACAATGAAACAAAAACTCATAGCACAAAGGCTAAACTCCCTATAATACATAAAGAACTCCTGAAAATCAACAAGAGAAATATCAATGACAACAAAATAGGAAAAATATATGAAATATTTAGGACACAGGAAATACAAATGCACTTAAACATGTGAAAATATGCTTAACTTCACTCTTAAGAGAAATAGAAATGAAACTATTATGACTGACATAGTCATCCATCAGATTAGCAAAGATTAAAAAGTAATTTAAGGGTGTGAAGAGATAATCATTCTCATACTAATGAAGGTATAAACGTATAAAATGTATTTATAAGGAGAAACTTGCCAATGTCTATTAATATCTAAAACCTTAATTGCTAGTAAGAATGGACATTTATTGAGTGGTTAGGTGCTAGACACCTATAGGTGTACCAGTCCACTCTTCCCTATAATGAATCTATGAAAATTACTGCTATTATCCTTATTTAGGAAATGAAAGAACTGAGGCACAGAGGTTTAAATAGCTTGCCCAAGGTCACACAGCGGGCAGATGGCAAAGCTCAGATTCTTTACCACTATGCTGAAGTGTCTCCATGTGTAGTATAACAGCAATTCTTCTAGGAACTTATCCTCTAGATATGCTTCTAGCACAAGATTGTTAATTGTAAAAACAAAAGATTGTAAATAATATAAATAACCATCAGTGGGGACTGATTAAATAAGGAAGTAATTTATATACCAATTTGGATGGGGTGGTGTATGTGTAGGGTCAAGAAAGGATCTCTGGAGGAGCTGGACTCATCCAGGCACAGACCTGAGGAAGAACATGCTAGGTGCAGTGAATGGCATCTGCAAAGGCTCTGGGATGGGGAAGAGCTTGGCACATTTGAAAAGTTGAGGGAAGATCACTGTTGCTGGAGCATGGCGAGGGACGGAGGGAGAGAGTGATATAAGATTTAACTGGAGAGGCAGGTAAATACGACTATGCAAGGCTTTACGGGTCATGTTAAAACTGTTTGGAAGTTTCTTAAAAAGTGAAGCAGGAGATCTGCGTCAGTTTAAGATGAAGCAAGCTGCAAGAGATTGTTGGTCCCACCAAATATGGATGTAAAGCCGCACAATCTAAAATAAAAAAAAAATCTTTCTTTGTGTGTGTGTTCCTCAGAGACTTAGTTCCTCACTTGAGAGCTGCACCTCAGATGAATCGAATTCCAAAGGAAGCCAAGCCCCTCTGGCACAGCACAGACTCCTTTGTTTTTTGTGGGGGGGGGGAGGGGAGGAGTAGAAAACCTGCCATCTTCACCCTGCAGTGACATTAGGTAAAAAGTGACCTGCCGTTGGGGGACAAGTTCAAATTCAGAATCCTGTACTAATACACAGCAGAGTTTGACTTCCACAAGGAGAGGGGAAGGAAGCCCACTTGAGCACCACTGAGTAGGAGGTGGGATTGTTTGCCACTGGGGAGGGGCAGGGAGGCTGAGAAAGTCCCACCTTCTGAGACTCAGGTGCACAGGGCCTGCCTAAAATGGAGATTGGAGTAGGAAAACCAGGAATCTCTTCTCCTCTCCTCCACCCTCCAAAACCACTGCTAACCCTGCACTGAGTAAAAATCAACAGCCTTCTACAGCTGGGGGAGGGCAAGAGCGCCAACATTAAGCAGCCACTGTGATGCAGGTGCGGAGAGCCTGCTGATAGCTGAGGATAGAATGGGAATACTAAGAAAAAACCTCCAGCCCTTCAGACCTCACCTAAACACAAGGGAGTGGCAGGTCAGATCACCACTGTACAAATATGAAGTCTCTGGTGAACTCAAGGTATAGAGACAAAAAAATACAAACCTAGCCCAAATACAAATGAGACGGAAGCAACCTCCCCCCACACTAACAGCCTGACAGAGAAGAGACTTGCTCATTTCTGGATTTAAATATTATTTATCTCAGCCTCTACAATTTCTTATCTTCAATGAATGACATTCAATCAAATTATGAAACACATAGAAAAGCTATAGGAAAAAAAAGAAAAACACAGCCAAAAGATAAAACCACTAACACAACCAGATCCAGAGATGGACAAAATGTTGGACTTCAAATTATTATAATTTATACATTAAAAGATCTAGTGAAATCTAGCTACTTAGGTTGTATA